TTTCCGTTATGACTGCATAGTTTGAATTTCTGTTGCGCTGCTCGTATTCGTGTTTTGTGTAGTATCTGTGAGTAGTGGGAAGTTGTCAATGTGCGCGCGTGCGCTTTGCATTCCACAATCCGTGAGGTGTTCATTTAATACTCATTTAGCGCGATTTAGGTAGTGCTTGAGAGTTAAATGAGGTTTTCCGTTTGTGGGTTAATAGTGATTTCCACCACACTTTCTTGGCCGCTCTGGTCATGGAATAAATAAATTAATTTAAATAAGAAAAATTTGCTGATATAAAGGGAAAAGTGTAAATAAACTTAAAAAAAACGATATATAATAAACTTAAAAAAAAACGATATATCAGTAGAGCCAATTAAAGTATTCGCGTTACATAATTTGCAGTGTAGGACTGCTATATAAAGGATTAGGCATGGATTAGTGACATGTGCCCTCTCTCACTGGGCACAAGTAAACATACGTCGATGTTTCACAGAAAAATATAATTATTTATTCACCTATTCCGCTTTATAATTTAAATACATGAAATCTTGAGTTGTGTCGTTATTACAGCGGATAAGTACTTATGTACATACATATTGTCATTTTTAAATTACAGAAAAAAATTAAGTTTACTATAAAAATAATAAAATTTTTGAAATGGATGCTAAAATTTTAAATCGAATACGTCATTCAAAATCGTAAATACCATCAAATATACATATGTAAGCGGCTTTATTCACTTGGTTTTTTGCGACTCAAACTAACTTAAATTGTAATGTTTAAGGCCTCCATTTCCCTTTACCTCAACTATATTTGATTCAACTATTAAATTGGGCTGATCATTAAACGAGTTCGCGATAGGCATTTAATTATTCACAATGACGTTTTTTATGACCCCATTTTCGTTTGCTTTAGATTGTTCACACAATTAGAATTCCGAAATATGCACGCGCCTGTCTCTTCGACTACATACAAACAAATAAAAATTTCAAAGAATACATATAAAATAATGAAATTCAAATAATTTTTGGTGTCCGCTTATACGCGCTTATTGCAAAGTTGCTTTTGTTGTTGCCTATTGTTTTTGTCTTAACACAGATTAACGCAGTTCAAATGATGCTCACAGTCGTCTTTGTTTATTTTGCCAAGCGTTTTACACCACGCACATGCCTGCTGAAAAGTGGAAAAAATTAACTAAAAACTACTGAATTAATTAAAGAGGCTAATGCCATATTTTTAGCGCTTTATTTCTTCGACTTTTGTAGCACTTGCTTCCATTTGGCACAACGCATTAATATTCTTTCGTTTAAAATTTTGCAAAAGATACCGCCAATAACAAGTGTTTCTTAATGAAGTTAACTAAATTTCGCAAAAAAAGAAAAAAAAAACTGAGCGGATCCACAAATGAACACGTCAACTTGGATAAGTGATTAGTGATCGGGTCATTTGAGATCATGCAAATGTTAATGATAGCTCAATATGATCAACCACAAAGCTGCTAGTAGTTTGATCTTTCATTGCTCTTCTTGTTGGTACAGTTCTGATGATCTTGGCCTATGCGCGATGAAAAAAAAAATTAAAGCACACACTTTTGATGCGAAGTTTAGGTCTTAAGATCACTGCAAAAAACTGCTCGATATTTAGTATACATACAGCCCGCGACAAAAGAAAGCACATCACATTTTTACCAGTTTTGACGACTTTTGTTCTACTTTTCTTTTAAGGGTCATTCATTTTTTATTAAAGTTAAGCTCTTTATCAACCAAAAAACCATACAAGTTCAAATTTCAAACTTTGTAAAAAAAAAAATTGAAAAATTGAAAATTCATCTCAATTCCAAGTACATATTTTAATTAGAATTTCTAAACTAATTTTTTGTATGCAGCTTTATAGCCTATTCAAATCTACTATAATAAAGTGACGGTTTGAAGTTGCTAAAAAATTGCATTGATTTTTGATAATTATTTTTTTCTGACGGTGTTATGCACTTTTTCCATATAAAAAAAATACTTTGTATGGAAGAAAATGCCATACCAAAAATTATTCTATCAAATAAAGTTAAAGTGCTTGGAATTAGTATGAAAAGTTTTTGAAATTTTTGTACAAAGTCTGAAATTTGGATTTATATGCTATTTGTTAGATAAAGAGCTATACTTTTATATAAAAATAATTAAAATTAAACAAAGAAAAGATAAATAGTCAAAGCTGTTCAAAATGTTGAGGTGCTATCGTTTTGTTGCGGGCTGTACATCGTGCAGCACAAGATATGCACATAGGTATGTATGTATAAATAGTGTTTTTAGGGGCACAGAACTTTAAATTGCAATAAAATAAGATATCATAGCGCATTCTAGAAGTCTAATTAGCGACCACTTTCAAGCAATCGTGCATGGTATCTCGGTAATAGTTCACACCCCTTTGCGTCCTGGGGCTGGATTTCTATCCGGATCTTCTAACTATCCGCTTATTCGCATTTCGTGATGAACGGATATTGACCGCATAACAAAATGAACAGATATTAACCAGATATCCGGATTTTCCAATCTAAAAGTAAAAATTGTTTGTGTATCAATGAAGTGCTCTACTTTTATTTCGCAATTCGATATTCAGTAATTTTGAGAACAATTTTACAAAAACGTTCCCATATTGTTTAAGCTGCCTTTATATGGGTCGATTTCTGAGAATCGACCAGCCAAAACACTTACATTTTACGATTGAATTGCCATTTACTCTGGTCGACAAAAATCCACTAAAAAATCGACCTGTGTAAAGGCAGCGTTAGAATATCGGGATAACTATCCGTATACACGAATATCCGAACGGTTATCCGAGTAATATAGATAGTCCCATCTCTAGTTTAATGTTTTCGGTTTGTTCGCATAACCAATGAAAGGCATCGCTTTCCAATTGCTGACATTTTCAAAGATCCATCAATGGCTTTCTCAAACCAATTCAAATTTCGTTAATGGTGTTTCCTTTTCTACAAAATAGGTTTGTTCTCGGCATCTCGCGGGTGTCCAAAACGGCCCAGAAAGCGTTCCTCACACTGGAAAAATGGGTAATAAAGAGCGAATACATTCCACTTTTGGATTGTAAAAGTCTTCTTCTTCGTGTTCGTGCCCGAAACATCCCGGACATTTTTTCCGGGCACAAAGGTGCATATTCAAATTGCCATAACAGCTGTTGTTTGTTTACAGCCGAAAGCAAATTTTATATTTTATTTTTACGCTCTAAGTACCGAAACAGCCCGAAAAGCGTGCAGAACAAAGCTAATATGTTGCCTTATTCTTAGCATTTGTGTGAAGAGGGCAATGAAAAGTACAAATTTAGGGTAGAAAAGAAAACGCCATAAGTCTTCGCCAGACATTGCCCTATACATGGCCAGACTTCTCCGTAAACGACATCAATGACTTCGTTTTTGACTTTGCCATCTTTTCCTTGATATATATTTCAACAGGGTCATGCCGAATTCCCACTAGGCATTGAAATGACAAAAAAATTTAGTCGATTTAAAAAATGCCATGGGGAAATGAAGTTAATGACTATTTTTTTAACGTAATGATAGAAATATTTTTTAATGCCCAACTTTTTCATTAAAATTTTTGCCATTTAATGCCGAGTGGAAATTAAGCATTACTCTGTGACAATCACCAAAACATGAGTAACATATCTCTGTGTACTATTTTGAAAGACCAAGTTAAATCGAATTAGCACATTTTTCTGTAAAGCAAGAAATCAATAATTTTTCCATCCGAGTTTAAGATCTCCATAAAAGTTTAACAAAAGCAAATCATCCTTTTTTTATGAAAGTCATCGTTCTTTCATTCGAAATAAAAAGTTCCAAAACCACAACTTGTTTTGTTAAAAGCGCAAAGATTATTTGAAACATGTGAACATCCGCTGCTCGACTTTGTTGCACTCGTTTGCACTTTTTTGTGAAAAGCTTAAATCATTACTTTATAAAGTATCATACATACGTACATGCATATGTATTACCCAGCCAGCACGAAAGTACGGAAAATGAATTCAGTTTACGTTAATTTTTCGTATCCGAAACACTTCTGAAAAGTATAATTTTATTTGAAGACGAAATTTTTAAATATATATTCAAACTGTACATTTGTAAACATGACATGTGCATTGTATACATCATGATAAAAACATAGCAAGGTATAACCGTTCTCTCATTTTGTCGGCAATGATTTTTTTTGAAGTTTGCCATCATTTTAAAATCATATAAAATTGAAAATAAAAAATTTAAATTGTTCGAATTTGTTGTTGCTTGAGGTTGAAAATGAAAATGTGTGTGTGAGTTTGCGAGTAAATTTAAAAATTAAAATGTTTGGAAACGCCAAGAATTTTAAAAGTAACTCTCAGCGGTTCTACCTTACTATATTTTTATCATGGTATACATCATGATAAAAACATTAGAAGGTAAAACCATTCTCCCATGATTTTTTTTCTGACGTTTGCAAACATTTTAAAATCATATAAAATTGAAAATAAAAAAATGAAATTGTTCATAATTGTTGTTGTTTGAGTTTAAAAATGAGAATGTGTGTGTGAGCTTGAGTTCGAATTTTAAAATATTATAATAAAAATAATATATTGCTGGCAAACGTCAGACTGCCTCTCAATGATTTTACTTTGTAATGTTTTTATCATGGTATACATATTCTGGCAGTAGCTGAGTGTGCAGGGGAGCGTGCTACTATGTGTTACCTTGCAGGAGGTCCCAGGTTCGAATGCAGTCAGACGCATATATTAAAAGTATTAGTTTAAATTGAAATAAATGTTATATTTAATTTTTGTTTGGTTTTCAGTACCTATGAAAAATCATCTAAAAAGTTCAAAATGAAAGCGTTCTCAACGATAAATTCAATCAGAACAGCCGAGAATCTACCCGGAATGGAATCGGGGGAAAACGTATGAAATATCAGGTTTTTATAAGAAATTGTNTATATTAAAAGTATTAGTTTAAATTGAAATGAATGTTATATTTAATTTTTGTTTGGTTTTCAGTACCTATGAAAAATCATCTAAAAAGTTCAAAATGAAAGCGTTCTCAACGATAAATTCAATCAGAACAGCCGAGAATCTACCCGGAATGGAATCGGGGGAAAACGTATGAAATATCAGGTTTTTATAAGAAATTGTTTCCATTTTCTAATATTTTGCTGGTTGGGTACACACACATATATGAACATATGTATATATTAGGGTGGTCCAAAATTGCATGTGAAAAAGTGAAGTCGGAATTTTTATGCTCTCACCCCCTAGGATTGTTCTATACCGAAAAAATATACCCTATTTTTTTTTTGAAATCAAGAAATACATAAAGTTTTACATGTATTTTATAAGGGGAAAAACCACTTTTCGTAGAAATGGATGAATTCTTAAAAATCAGTATTTTTCTATCGGAAAGCTCTGCTTATCTGCAGGAGATTCCCAATAATAATACCCAATTGTTTATTTAACCATTTTTTCATCGCAACTATAATTTATAGGTCCGCCATAAACCCACGAAAATCCCGAAAAAGCAATGGCCCCCACAAATAAAAAATCGTTAGTATTAAAAAATGGTGAAATAAACAATTGAGTGGGTACTATTATTGAAAGTCTCCTGAAGAGAGCAAGAGTTTTCCGATCGAAAAATATTTATTTTCAAGAATTCTATACCATTTCTACGAAAAGTGGCTTTTTCCCCATATAAAAATACATGGAAAACTTAGAGCGCTTTGAGCGACCTCTAAATATTTTTTGATTTCAAAATAAAAAAAATATGGTTTTCGATATTGAACCATCCTAGGGGGTGAGAGCATTACAAATCCGACTTTACTGTCTTTGGACCACCCTAGCACATATACATATGTGTGTATTAATGTGATTTCACACAGATATTTTCAACGCACGCATGCATCTCATCCGCTGTCATGTGTGAATGAATGGAGGAGATCGGTCGCTCAGTCAATTGACGCTCGTTGGCTGTCATCACCTTTGAAAATTTGGTGTTGTTTGCGCATTCGATTCACTTTCCGTTTTTAAATTTATAATAATTAATTTCACTGCAAATCAAGTTGAAAAAATGCATTAATTTCCTTGGCGCCTTCCAAAAATTACCTAGCGCCAGCTTATCACAGTTTCTGGACAATCATAAATATTGCCTTTAATCGTCCGTCGAAGAATTTTATAATTGCGGACATTAAGCTTTGTGCGGAACAATCTTTTTGTGTCTTTCATTTTATTTGTTTAAATATTTCTCATGCGTTACTTGCTGCCGCTTGATAAAGTGAATCAAAGCTCAGCATGCTGATGAAATATTTCTAAATGTTTACCAAGAAATATTTGTATGTAAAATTTTCACATTCTTAAGCAAGTATGAATTTGTTGTGATTGAATTAAAATTCATAAATTGGTTTTGCTATGTCTGCTACGTTGGAGAGATGTTAGTAGTGTTAGTTGAGCGAATAGAAACGCAGGTGTGTTGATTTAACTAATGAGCAAACAAAGTTTTTTTATGAACTAGAAAAAGTCGGTAACAAGTATTACCCTACAACGGCATAAGTCCGTCCGGAAACCTCGAACTACTAAGTTGATTTCCTCGTTTTCCACCCCTTTACTCAATTATTCGCAAGAATGGTGGAAGCAGAGAGGTTAGAATATTCAGTTTTAAAAATGATGCATGTAGCAAATGGTTTTCCAATGGAGTTTTTTGTTAAGGTCTTAGCAATTCGCGCATTTAACCTTCTACCGAGTTTTGCCAACCCTACGACAATCGTTTCCTAATATTTTTTTGTTCTAATTCGAAAATGACTCGAAATTTTATATTCCCCATTAACCTGAAAATATTCTTGTATATCATTAAATTGTAAAGATGTGATTTAAACTGAGTAAATAGGAAGGGGCGCGGGAGCAGTACATAGTGTTTGTTTTCTCCGTTTTTTTTTTTTTTTCGTTATCATTTATGTCACCGACAGTCTGCGTGGTAGGACGTCTTGAGTGACATTTTTGTGGTTGCTTTGTGCCTGAAATGGTAAGCAAACTAACCAATGCTCAAGTATTGTTAGGATGCTTTATGTTGCAAAATGTACAACTTTTTGTTTTTGTGTGCACAGTGTTCTACTATTGTTTTTAGTTTTTGTTTTTATTTCTTGTGTTTTATGTCTCGAATTAATTTAAAACGTATCTAACAAAAATTTCTACTGCGAATGAGGTACGAAATTTGTATATGTGCATTAGTACATACATATTAACATACAAAAAATTTGTGAATTGTGAATTTTATTATCAATTCGGGTGTGTTCTTCTGAGTGATGCAGCTAGTTTTTTCATTTCATTGCTTATGAACACTGTTTAACTAAGTTTTTTTTTTTTATTATTTTTCTCACTCGCGCTTTTATTTCGTCTTTCGATAGGAAATATCACTATATTTCTTTCTAATAGAATTGTGTCATTCTTCAAAGTGGCTGCGAAATGTTGACATTTTCTACTAAGAAATAAATCTTTGAAATTCATATCACAGCCAGCTTTGAGGAGCGTCACGGTTCTAAAGCATTAACGAAAACTTTAACCATCATTACGGAAAAAAAAGAAATTTAAAAATGTTGTGTGAATTTGATAAGAGAAGAGTGATGTGTCAAAATACAAAATGGAAAATTTATTGTAACCGTAAAAAGTATATATTTTTCAAGTTTATGAACTAACGAGAACTAATATGGAACTGTTTAGTAGTGCATAACTAACTATAATTAATTCATTTGCGACAAAACAAAAATATCATATCAAATTTCAATTAGAAATGGTCATAGTAAATTTATTTTCGTGCCTTTTATAAATTTATATCAATTTCTTCTTCGCTATAATCCATAATCATAACACTACTCTGCAGTAATCATTATATATATATTTCAAGTACTTTAAAAAGAAATTCGAAGTTTTTTTTTTTGTTTTTGCACAAGAACAACAAATACGTACGTTTGTCTAAATCTCACAAAGTGGTTGTGAAATGCTTTATTTGCAATTGCATATCACAGCCAGCTTTGATGAGCTTAGCTGGACGTCTGTAAGAGCTGCACAAAAACTAAACGAACAATTATGAAAATATGTCACAAAAAAGATTACAAATGAACTAACATGCGATTCTAACATGCATAGATATAGTACATGAGTATCCATTAGCACACCATGCATAACAACAAACAAGACACGCTGCAGGACATTTCCATTCTCTACAAATTGCATAAATGTCAACATCATCAACCAACCATCAACTTGGTTAGTCGGAGATTGGAGCTGAGAAATCATGTCATTTAAAAGATTTTATAAAAAAAAAAAATGTATAACAACAAAAATGTGGCTATAAAATGTTGCTTATCTAAGCCTCATCAAGTGGTTGTGATATGGATTCTCAACGCATATCACAGCCAGCTTTGATGAGCTAGGATAATCAACGGGGGACAGCGTTCTTCAAACAAAAAAAAAAAACTGAAGAATCCACAAAAAGACTCAAATAAAATTTTGCATATAAGTTTAAAATAAAGATTGGCTGCTGATTTGTTATGGAATATGTGGTATTTAACTTAAGCTGTGATATTTAACTTAAGCTAACTAAATTATTGAAAATTATAAACTTAAAATAAAATAATGAAAAGTCCAAAAAAATTAAGAAGGAAATTAATAAAAATATTAATTAAAAAAAAAAAAATGTTAAATAATGTTTAGTGAAATCGTAGTTTAAAAGCCATTGGTGTGAATTTTTATTTATTGCATAATTGGTAAATTTTCTAAACAAAACATAATCTAAAAATAATAAAATAAAATGTTGATTAAAAATAAAAAAAATTTACGTAAATGAAAAAAATATAAAAAAAAATACAGTACTGTCTCGGTTTGTGCAACTTATTGATGTAAGGGGGTATTGCGCAAATCAAAAAGTTGCAATTATAAAGACCTTTGTTAGAGAAGGAAAAATTACGATATAGTTGGTATCTTTTACCACAAAACAACTAAATACATTGGAGTGTAGTAGTCAAAATAAAATCGGCTTTTTTAGTTACAGGTTTTATGACAGATATTCTATTGAAAATAGTGTCGAAAAGCTGCAATGAACTTTTCCCACAACGCTGACAAAATTCGCCGTTTATCGTGTACTCAGTAGGTCATAACAATAACAATGACAATTGTCACCATTAGATACCTTAAAATATCTTTGCGGCATAGTATTAGGCGCAGTAGTAAAGACAATAGTCAGCCGCTGAGTTTTGTCATTAGCGTGGGAATAGGGCTGTAAATTAAAAATTTAATAGCTGCACATATTCTACCTTTTGGGCATATAGTCCCTAATATAAAAATTTTGTATGTGAAAACCGAGGGATAAAAAACTAGACAGTACTGTATCTACTGTGTATTTTTTTTTTTTTTTTAATTAACAGTTACTTTCTCATCCTCTATTGAAGGATAGGAGAATTAATTGGCTAGCAAAAAAATTGATTTAAAATGAAAGAACTAATATCAATCAAAACCAAAAAAATAGAATAATATCCTAAAAAAAGTTAGAAAACTACAAAAATACAACGCAAAGTGAAAACGATCGACCAAATTGATAATTGGTGCAAAATAATTATAATTTCATCGAAAATTATTTTACGCTGGGAATTTTATAGCTCGTTTTTTTATTTTCATTTTGCATACTATGTATGTTTGTATATTTTTTATCAGTGCTTAATTTCATAATCTAAAAGCATCAATTTCGCCTTAAATACAACTTCACTACCTTTTATAAATTCTACTGCATTGTTTTAATTCACTTTTACTTTGCTTTAATTTTACCCTGTTTGATAAAACATTAACGCGTCCTCCGTCATTTGTCTGTGTAAAAAAATTTGCCTGCAAAATTAATCACTCGCCTTAAAATAAAATAGGCACAACAATTTAAATGTTGTCTACGATTTCCCCACCTTCAATTGACTCACTATTGCATAGTCATCGGTGAAATGGTGATTTGTAATGATTTTAATTTCTAAGAGTTTGTTGTGGCACGTGTGTAACAAAGAATAAAAGTGTGGCGGGGGAGGATGGGGTTCCCTATTTACGTCACCGCTTACTCACAGCATTAATATGTAGGCTGTGATATGCCGGTTGTGGCGCCAACAGCATTCATGCANGGTTGTGGCGCCAGCAGCATTCATGCACTCTCTACCCCCAAATATTCGGAATGAGGGCTGCGAGTATTGCAATTGTAGATAGGAATTGCATTTTCTTTTTTTTTTTGCCAGCCTGCATAGTTCTACGAATTTTTTATTTTTTTTGTTGTTTGTTTGCACACCAAATAACAAAGCTTTTTGTTGGGTGACACATTTAATTTTCTTTGTAAGGCGTTTATTTGAGGTAAACTGCATATAGTTTGAGTTTTTAGGAAACTAATTTTACAAATCTTGCAAATTATAAAAGAATTTTCTAAATTTCTGCTTTGCTTGTTTAGGGCAGGTTAGTTTCTTGTTGCATTGTGATGGTTTAGATTTCAGTGATTTTTCTGTGAATTCTGTGTTGATTATTTGCGCCAAAAATGGAAAGGAGGCATGCATTGTTGTATATTCCATGTAATTTTTTTGGTAGGGGCAATGTTGCACTGGCTTGTGCGGTGACTAATACGGAACTTTGTTTTAATCGAGAAGAATTTTAACTAAAGTGATATATTTCGGAAGAAATTTCAGAAAGCAATTGCACGAGCAGTCACACCTTGCGTGTAAAGTGCCTTTCGAAAGTAGGTTTTTATTTACAAAAATCAAATTGTCGGAGAAAATTCTGAAAACGCTTTTTCTTTCTCTATACTAAAATGCAACAGTGAGGCGCCTTGCCGGGATTTGTTACTTCTCTTGGTTATAATTAACTTTATTTTCAATTTGAAGATTATTTTATTTGGGGTATTCACACCTACCTGGTTATCTGGTTATGTGGTTATATTTTTAGCTCAGTTTACAAAAACAAAATACACTAGAGAATAATAATTTTTTAACCAGACAACTTGAGAACCAGACAGGTGTGAATAGCCCATATATTTACAACTAAACAATTAAATTCCGAAAAACGGTTAATTGAAATAATTTCTGATATTTTATTCAAAATTATCGTTTACACTCGATTAGTTTGACAGCTTTTGCAGCAGAAATAAAAATTGCTAATGCAGTGCAAGCAAGTTTAACCGAAATCGATTTACGGTCACACCTTGCCGCTTTAATTTCTGAAACTGATTCCCGAATAGTGACAGAAAGGTCTTTCTCACTTCTCACACGTCGAAATAAAATGTATATTCTAAATTTGACAGCGAATTACGTGGAGAAGTTGGAGGAGTTGCCACCTCTGACGCGCTCTTTAGGAAACAATATGGTCTCAAATATGTTTAAACTGGACTTTGAAAAATTAGCCAGTGTGTATGTTAAACTTACCCATTTACGTAAATGTAAATGAGGATTATACAAAATTGTATTGGCTTTCATAGAGAAAAAGTAAAATATTCATAGTAGGCCAGGTTAAGCCATATAAAGTTACATTTTCATAAACGAATTTAATTTTTTACAAGTCATTTTATTTCTTATGATTTTATGCGCATCATTTTTATTGTTTTTGTTTTCTTTTTTTCGTAAATTTCATTAATCATTATCTAATGTCATCAAACTTAATAATAATATCACTCTTTAAATAATTCTTTCTTTTCCTTCACAATTTTACTCTCTTGATCATTCGCTAATTGTATTAGTTTTTCTTTTAACTTAAATGCTACATATATAGTATAACTATTCATTCATTACTCCATATGTGTTAGCTAAATTGAATAATTTTCTTCACTTTGGCATTTTCCATTAAGTCAAATATTCCTCTTAATATAATCCACTAGAAGCCCTCTACTTAAGGAATCCTAAACTCGCTACAGATAGCTTAAAAAATGTAATTTGTTTATTCTTATTTTCACAGGCATACAACAACGAAGTGCACACATTTGCTACAAGGACTAACGATAACGATAGCAAATAACTGGTTTTTTCTTACTTTTGAACTTCGAATTTCGTGTTTACAATTCGCGTTTTTAATGCATTTTTAAACACAATTGTTCCCATTCTATTTTTAATTAAATTATTTTAATATATAGTAATGAATTGTACTTCAGATTGATTGTATGAAATTTCTTGTTGTCCAAGTTCGATATCCGTACGACAATTGTGATAAGTTTTAATTGTTTAGTTGGATCCTTATAGTTACACCTCACACACACACACATACACACAAGCAAGTGTAAAAGTTTAAACCAAAAATATCTAAGTGTATAAGAAATAGCTGTGAAATTCTCATGCAACAATTATTTGTCTGTGTCGAATTGTATATTGATGTTATAGCTGTAATACTAACCTCGTTGAAAGCAACTGAAATCAAAGATCTTAAATTTTAATTAAACGTGAATTCACAAACATATATAACATAATCAAAAAATATATTTAAAACAAATTTAAGTTTAAAATAAACACTAACCTTTGGCTGAACTCTAATTACTGCGAATAACTCCATTCCAAGAAACAGTATTTCGTGTAGTGGATCTCAAAACTGGATACAAGTTTACCACTCACAAAACCAACACTCTTAACTCAAGTGCTAACACATTATTTTAACTTATTTTTTAATCATTAAATTCGCTCTCTATTTTTGGTAGCAAAGTAAAAAAAAAAAAAACATCTCAATAATGTTCTTACTCAAGCGCAAATGCGCGCTGATCTTCAGCGTATACTCCATGTCACTGCTACTCGTTTGTCTTTTGAAGCAGCCATCCACAGTTGACGCTTGCTCTAGTCGTTCCATACCGAAACCACGCACTCTATCCTCGGCAGCTTCTTCGATCTCGCCACAAAAGTCAACAACATCCGCACCGACCACTACAACTACTACTACTACTACAACAACGGAGCCCACAACGACTACCACAACCACACCACGACCAAACATCACTTTCCCTACCTACAAGTGTCCAATAAACTACGATGCTTGGTACTGTCTAAACGATGCCACGTGCTTCTCAGTAAAGCTGGGCGATTCGGTGATGTATAACTGCGAATGCGCTAATGGATTTATGGGACCTCGTTGTGAGTACAAGGAATACGATGGCTCGTTCTTGCCGAAACGTCCACGTCCAATGCTGGAGGAGGCCAGTATCGCAAGTGGCGCTATCTGCGCGCTACTCTTTGTCCTCTTCATATGTTTGACTTTGTATTTGCGTTACGAGCAGCGTGCCAAAGTTGCCGCACTAGGCGGTGATGGGTATGAAATTGCTGACGGTGTTGAAGACGATGACGAGGAGGGTGAAAATACATATTTTACAACCAAAGCATGTCGTTACTGCAATGAGAAACAATGTTGCGGCGCAGAAATACGAGTTGGTGGCGGCGGTGGAGGTATTGGTATGCTACGTGGGCGTGTCCACGGAGCTGCTGAGGGTAGCGGTGGTGGCGCGCCAACACTCCGTCGTTACATTGAAGCGTTTTCTATGTCGTTTGCTATAAAACGCACCACAAAATTGTAAAATGAAATGCGTGCAGAGAAAGAAAAATATAAAGGATAGAGTGATGCAAATTGTGTTGTATTTGCAAAAAAAAAAAAACAAAAAAAAAATGTAGTATTTACGACCAATAAATAAACTTGCAAGGCGACAGAAAGCTAAAAATTAAAAAAGCTAACAGTTCATTTCTACCACGTCTTAAGTGCGGTTTACGCCGATTAGAGAAAGGAGATTACAACTGTAAGGTGATAATTGCTCATATTAAGTACAAGCGAGCGAAAGTAAAAAAAAATCAAAAATTTCAGTTAAGCTCTTGGTGGAAATGGGATATAAGATGAAGTGATTTTTATTAATTTTGTTTTTCAATTTCGAATTCAGAAATTTTTCCGAGTTTTCTCATGATATTCTAAAGTACTTAACTTTTAATTAGAATCATACTTTTATTAAATAATGAATTCGTGCTTATTTTTATGAACTTATATTTTTTAATACGTATTTAAATTTATGGAGCCTTTATATTTTTTGTTTTGTTTGCCAATACAGCACAATTACCATCCCTTAGAGAAAAACAACGAAATTATTAATTAATATAAAGCTTTGTTAGTCACTTACATTTGTAGCTAACAAGCGATTGATGTTTTTAGCTGAATACTTTAATGAAACAAATCAGTTTTAGACTTAAAATGACTTATTGCCTTCGAGTGCTTTATATACAATACATATACACTCCTGAGATTTCCTAAATGCGTCACAAAACTATTTTATGAGCATTCATATGATTAAAATCCAATTTCATAAATCCATGACATCACATTTGCATACATAAAATCATTCAATGAATCTGAATCTCATACTTAAACATACATATGTACTTGCAAAATACAATGATGAATAAAAAAAATTAACTTTTTCAATGATTTATTTAATGTATAAGTGATATTTATTTATTTATATAGACTGCAGCAGCGTATTTATAAAGAAATTGTATTAATTTTTCTTGCGGCATGCAGAAAGGTATTATTTATATCGGCTACATAATGAAAGATTTTGCAAAACAAACATAAAATAATGCACAAATAAATATTATAAATAAAAGCAAAAATTGTGTGTTTTTAATTTATAATGCGCTAGGGCAGATCTTTAAAATTAAATCATCGTGTGTTGTCTGTTAGTATATTTGTCCATTCGTGTTAGTATGTACTTGTTTAGAGTATACAGTTATTTTTTACATATTAAATTTTTGTAATAGTACCAGCATTCCAAATTGTTTGCATTCGTTTTCTTTGTTTCGTTGTAGTACAATATTTTATTTCTTATCAAACTTTTGATAACAATTCGTTAAATACATATTTTTCCTACAAACTATTTCATATTCGACTATAAAATAAACACCACAGTGGTCCATAGGTGCTAAGTGCAAATATGATTACTGTTATAATTTCTAATAATAAACGAAAATCCACATAAGTCGATGCATCTAACGAGTAATCGTTAAAAAGTGCCGTCTCAAAGGAAAAATACATACTCAGCATAGCTAATGTGTAGGTTATTAACCCGGTTATATTGTGTAGCGTCTTATTGACGCGCGGTTGTACACGACTTTTCAATTCTGTAGCGTAGAGTGAGCCTAGGCCGCTTAATAGGCTAATGAACAAGACTATCATGGTAGCAAGTCCTGAAAACGAAGTAAAGATTTTTTTTAACGATGGTGTAACACTTCGGTATTTCAATATATGTATTCTATTAAGAACTTCAAATATCGAATTCAAGCTTCCTTAGAAGCTCACTTTGACGTCTTTGTCAATGCTTTTACAGAAACTACATTTAACAATACCTACAGTATCCGACAAATTAAAAGGGTCGCGACATTTGGAAAAGTTTTGTCTAGTTTTCTTTTACTTAATGCTTAAATTATTTTATATTGTTTTATAAAAGTATAGGTCATTATCTAACAAAAACCATATAAATCCAAATTTCAGTTTGTGCAAATATTTGAAAATGTCCGCAAAGTTTCACCAAAATTTCAGACTTTTTTATCAGAATCTACAAAAATTTTAATATGCAGTTTTGTAGACTATTAAATTTAAGTATACAAAATGTTTTAACGTACTTTGGAAGAAAATGCGTGACTGTCGGCAAAAAAAAAAAAAAAATCAACGGCATTTTTAGAAACTACGCCCTATCTCAAAAAACTTCAAGAACGCCAAATTTCAGAATTCGTTTCAAAAAGCCCTATCTCAGCTGCCGATACAAAAACGCCCTGTTTCAGCACATTTTCAATACATTTTGAAGTGAGATAGGGTGTACTTCAACCAAATTTTGAGCTAAGATGTTTTTCAATAAAATTTTGAAATAGGGTGTTGTTGAAAAAGTTTTTTGAGATGGGGCGTTTTCGAACTGGCTGCCGAGATAGGTCGATCTTCCAATCAGCAGACGATATAATATTCATAGAACTACCGTTCAGCCTCATTGCGTAAGTCGTAAATTAGGCTAAATTGTACGACTCGACAACATTGGCATTGTCTACTGTCGTGCTGAAATAAGTAAACAACGAAAATCGTCGAAAACTATGCAGTGCTGCCAAGTTTTCCCGCTTTAATACACCAGTTGGTGCGAAATTTTTACACAATCACATGAAATTTTCGATACGATTCGACTCTTGAAAAAACGACTTGCTTTCGTTACGACTCTCGCAATGAGACTGATTAGCAAGAAATTCAATTAAATACTTTAACCACAATCCAATATTACTTTTTCTCAACTTAAGAAAAAGCTAGATCTCAAATTGTTTTAAATTAATAGGAACTGGAAAATTACATTTCCGGAGATTCAGTGGAGTAATTAATTATCAACTTGAGAATCATAAAGGTTGTAAAAGGTTGGATAAATTTATTGGTATTTGGTTGATAAATCTAGTGTGGCAATTAAAACTGCACCGCCTTACTAACCTTTTAGATTAAATAATTAATAATTTCAACTATATTCGAAGCTTTCAGATTTAAGAATATTCAGAGTCCTCATACATTAATACATATCAACAATATTGGCATAAGCAATGCTCTTTCCGAAAAGTATTGAATTTCAGCGAAGGATGGTTCTAAAATTTGTTCTTTCGAGGCATGTGAAATTGCTTCAAAGACAAAGACATGCTGCAACTGATCAAAATGAATATTTACCTAAAATACCATGCAGCGTATGAAAATGCACTTCTTCCAAACACATTTTGATGACAATTCCAGTAAGACCGATTATGGCGCCGCAAAGCTGTAGCATCCAATGTAAACGTGCTTTCTCTGGACGTTGACAAATCTGGGTCCAAACATTCCCACGATAGTAAGCCATTAAACCTTCAGACATTAAACAAAGGAACTGAAACACAGCAGCAAAGTTAGGTCTAATTATAAGTTATTTTCTTTTCATTTACTGCAAATATAAATTCCTCTCACTCACCCCTAGTGTACAAAGTACGGCGTGCCATGGAATATGCTCGCGATCTAATCGTAAACTCATCCAACACAAATAAATCGTTATGAAACCGATTAATAGACGATTAATTAGCGTCAATACGAATTCAAGCTTTTGCGTGAGTGTAAGTGGTGGCGGTACTCGTCTGCTGCAGCCTGTTTGTGCAGGTATGCTACTGGTACTCTGACATTGTGCTTGTGGTGCTTCTGTAGAATCCCTAATAAAAATAATTTTCGCGTTGCTTACCTTATTTACTACGAATTTTCCGCGACGTGTCATTTTGATCTTTTACGAGGCTTCTCAAATTAATACTTTATTTTACTAAAATTTGCATTCACTTTGATTAACTACTTTGTGGAGAAGTGCCACCGAACGTAAATTTTTCCTTACTACTGTTTTTCGCAAAACTTCGATTTTAGCCGCAGCTTTTCTCGCTGCGAGCTACCTATGTCAAATAACTCCTGTTCACGTTTCTCGCCAGCAAATTCCATGGCAAGTCGGTTGCTCTCAACTCGCAAATTTACATCGCCTCGTGATTAAATGCTTGTTTTTTGGTTTTTATCTATTCTTCTCAATGCCTTTATCAGTGTGTCAACCCGGAGCCATTGGCATATTGCAACGGTGATTGATTCTGTGAACACTTGCTCTGCGAGTACTTATCGGGTGCACCTGCCTCTGCTGGTGATTAATTAGACTACATCGCTGCGGTAAACAGTAGACATCGTGTTTCATATGAATGAACTTGGCCGCCGTGCAACTGGTAGCTTCGGTGAAATTGAAGATCTCCATATTCCGATTTTATCATAGGCATATTGATATGAACTGCTGTAAGTACATATAAATGTATGTAAATATGTATGTATATTTAAGGTGTATACCCACTCGGCAAAATTAGAAAATAACAGCCCTTCTGTGAGGCCTTTACTTCGGATCTTTTGAAGCTCCTGTTCATTTTGTATGGAACGGGGTGAGTTTCCACGCCTTCTTATTCAGCTTCCCTTAGAAGGTAAACACTTACACGAAATAATGATGAAACAGTTTGACTTTAACTTTGCAGTAGACACACACCAATGCGTTTACTGCGATTTGACTTTGGTTGCCTTGGAAATACACCTTCTCATCTGCCTTCGAATGGCAGCGCTATTGGAAGATCTTCTAACAAAGCTTTCAAAGAGAAGGTCTTAATGCAAAATCCCTTCTAGAAAACGTTTATTTAGAAACGCTCCTCATTTTGCCAACTGGGTAACATTACAGTAGTTGTATATAACATTTGGTTTGTCAAGCCAAGCCGAATTGGACGAGCATGGTGAGAGATTTCACCAGATAACAGCATGCCTGGAAAATTGGTATATTGAAAAGAAGATTGATGCTCTATTAGAAGATATTTGTTGGAACTTACAAGATAATGAAAACGAAGATAACTAAAAAAAAAAATATTTGAATTTCGATAAAGAAAAAGGAAAAAAATTATAAATATATTTGGTTATACATATTCTTTGGTCATTTCTATCAGTTGGGTTTGCTAATTTGTTGGCGTTTATTTCACTTAAAGTCATTTCAATTGAAATACATAAAACAAAAATTTGGTATTTATCCATGGAAAACATGAGAAATGTGCAACAATTGTCAATGGCAACAAATTGGCGACTCACCGATTCATTGTCGTGGTGACAAATCGGGAACACATTTATCTCATCTCAATTTTGAAATAAATAAGTTATGAAAAATTCCCAACTTTCGCGTCAACAGTATTGTTCAAAAGCATCTAATTTATGCCAAAGATAGGATTGAAAATATAGGAAGCCCTATAGCGAGGAGAACGAATTAATTTCGTTTGCAAGTCTCATTTTTTTGTATACAAAAAATAAATGAAGTATTAAAAAAAAATAAAATTATTACAAAAATCGCCTGTAGCAATAATAAAGCGATCATTTAGGTAATAAAGAAACGACTCGGCGTTTTAGAGCAACTGTTAATAAGAAATCGATACGATGAGGCGAGGGCACACGTTTTCTTATTACTGAAAACAAAAATTGTCTGGATGGTTTGGTCAAAATCGAAAAATTCTTTAACGAGTTTATCAAAAACAAAAACAAATAAATACATAAATTTATTTCCAACGCATTTTTTACCGCTTTCGATAATTTTTGAATATTTTTTGTATGAAAGCTGTTGTTGGTTCACCAACGTTCACAGCAGCTGTCCGCCCAGTTAAAACAATCGTGTTGCACTCTTTTAATTTGAGCAGTTACAGCAGCTTTAAAAAACTATTTATTGCAATTAAAATCCAAGTTAATACATATAATTTATTTACATCGTTTTAGAAACTTACTTTGGTTGACCAACTAGATTCGCTTGGAAAAATTAAAGAGAGTACGAATAACGTTCGTTTGCGAATTCAAAAATGACGTTCGCTTAAAAACTTCTAAGAATATAATCTAAGAATAAAAGAAAATCAAAGAATGTTCGCGTTTGTATACTTCTTTGTTTGGCAGAGTTGCATCTTTTCTGTGCTGCCATATTGTTACGTCAGTTGTTGTGTGTTACCGGGCGGTGTTGCAACAGCTGTACTAAATATTTGTCGTATCGCAAAAATAAATTCAATTCAGAGTTCTGGCAACAAAAAACGAAACGAAAATCCCAAAATTTGTTGAAAAACGGACCCGCCTAAAAATTTGAATTTGATATTCCTTGATTGACCTAACCTGGAAAAATGACTATCACTACTGCCTTCATTTTTCCTGCTAGCTCAGTGTTATTTTCCAACTTTATGGCATTTTTAAAGACAGTATTTTCCTATTTTTTTTTTTTTTTTGTAATACAGATTAATTTATTTTGCGCAAGCATCCTGCTTATAGAACTGTAATGAAAGTTTTTAGTTGCCGTATTTACCCCCGTTTTAAACATAATACAAAAACAATAGAATGCAATTATGAAAATTATTTAATGCTGCTTTTTCTTATACTATGCACCGCATATATTTTATATATTTTCTTTTGCAGAGTATTTTCACGAGCCTGGACCAAAAAAGTTTTCAGACTGATTCATCAAGAACGACGATTATATTTTTTTATGAGAAGCTGTTTTTCATGTCGAGGGGCGACCGGTGTTAAGAAAAACCCTTGTTTTGATACATATTTTTTGCGACGTTGCTTTGACCAGGGCTTGAACCCAGGCCCTGCGGAGTGGTAGCGCACACTGCTAACCACTACACCACAGCGGCCACATCTTATATATACATTATATATTATTATTATTATATTACAATTATCTTCTGGGCTGCATTCATTTAGTCTATGGAGTTGTGAGCGTAAGGATTTCTACACTAAAATCAGGATCCCGAGGGCAACTCACGCTGACGGGATGTTAGTTATCTTGACCATTTTGAAGGCAATCTGCACGCAAAAGAAGATCGCTGACAATTCGGGTTTGTTGTATATTCAATCCTACCGGCATGGAGGAGCAACTACGGTTCGATTCGTTGAGAATGGCCAGCTGAGTCAGAAGCACTGCGATGAAGCTGTGAAAAGTGAGTAAAACTTAATGCATGCATTTATATGCATATATGTATGTATGTATATATGGGTCTTCTATTTCTCTTCATTAGATAAAGACTTCGGTGCAAAATCAAAGTCTACCCATGACTTGCGAGTTCCTGATATAGTGAGCGCTGCCAATATCAATGTTGGGAACCAATTAATTAGTTTATACAAAATATTAACTACTAATTGTAGGCAATTTGGTTGACTTGTAACTCTTCATTCGAAAAGTCATGGAACTATGGCGATCCCAGGTACGTTATCAATTAGAATGTTTTAAATATTTAAAGCTTAACTTAAGTAAAATCAAAAACGACGAGTACATTTTTCCATTGAATTTAATTTCTTTATTTTTTTCAAAATTGCAGGTTAGCTTGAAGGCGCTCTGTCATTTCACTAGGCGAATCTATGTACAGTTTGAGTCTTTCGCTACTGGTGTGCAAAAAATATGACATTCGAGACGCAATACAGTGATTTCTGTGTTCTGATGAGATGTCATATTTTGCCTAATTGGAGAAAATTCAGCAATATTGAGTTCATGAAGAATAGCTTAGAAGAAATGCAAGTAATATATACATACAGTGCCGGACAAAAGTATTGGCACAGAGAATTTTTCGCAATATATGCAAAGTTTTTCACCAAAAAGACATAGAAACAAAATCCTAAACTTTGTGCAAAACTCAGGAAAGTTCAATAAATTTGCAACCCTCTAAGTATGCAATTTTATAGCCTGTTCAATTTTAGTACATATAACAAAGTGCAAGTTTGAAGTATCTAAAAAATTGCGTTGATTTTTGGCAATTTTTTTAGTCGAAGGTGTTCCTCATTTTCTCCATACAAAAATAATTTTCGAACATACTCTGTATGGAAGAACCTGAGTGAAAAAAATGCCAAAAATCAACGCGATTTTTAGCAACTTCAAGCTTGCACTTTGTTTTCTAATAGATGAGCTATAAAACTGCATACTTAGAATTTATTTTAAAAATCTAAATAGAAAGTTGCAAATTTATTGAATTTTACTGACTTGCACAAAGTTTAAAGATTTAGTTTTTATGTTTTTCGGTGTAGGACGAACTATATTTTTATAAAAAATTATAGAAAATAAATTTAAATAAAAAATTTCGCAGATATTGCGAACAATTCTTTGTGCCAATACTTTTGTCCGGCACTGTATATAATAGTGTTAATAAAGTTAATCCTTACAGTAATTATTTAAGGGATCTACGAGGAGTCATAATATCCCGTTTAAAATTTATAACCTCTACGCCATATGACTTCTTTTGACACTTTGTGAATCCCGTAATTAAGTTAAGTTGATCTATTTCGTAGCTCAGTAATTTCTAAATGTGTAAAGTGTCAAAAAATCTCCTTCTTGGAGTTTCTATAGGCTTTATGTAAAGAAAGTTTACCGATATGTTTACCATTAAAATATGCAAATTTTCTTGCTTTACAGAATTAGCGCCCGAGTCAAGGAAACGAATGGCTGAATTAACCTTGGCTTACTTCAAAGAAAGGCGTCCTGCATGTAATGGGCCTATGAGGCGGAAGTATAATTGTCAATATAAAACCGCTTGATCAAAATTTCGGCCGATTCCGCAGTAATGGATTAGTCTATCTATGTAGGTAAGTACGAAACATATATCGCCGATGTTTTTGCAAAACCAATTGTAAAACAGCCTTAATCGCCAGGCATCGAGATTTATGCATACAAATTGTAAAATCGTTATTAAAACAGATTTGTAAAACGATAGAGAAAATACCGCCTATCAATGCAATGCCTTCAAAGAAAACCCGTTTTTTCGCTCTCCCGTAAAATTGGATTGGCGTAAGATAAGCAATTGGTCGATAGGCGGTTTCGCAAAAACGTCGACGATATGTACATATACATACTTACGTGGCTGAAATTATGGAAAACATTGTTGAACATTGAATACAACTAAAACTTCACTCTAAGCTGATATGTAAGCAGAAGAACATTTCAATAATGGACACATCTTCAGGCTGAGTGTAAACGCTCCCATCGCGGCGGACAGCTTCAGCCAGGTTTTAAGCCCAGAAAATGAATTGAACTATGAAAAAATGTTCACAAAATAAAACACAATAAATTATTGGAGCTCTGCCCTTAATGAATTTAAGCAATTATATTCATTTTTAAATTTATGATATTTATTTTTTCATATTCGCAAAATTTAAATTATCTGAATTCATTTCAGCATCTCGTTGCCTTGACCCGTATCGCTATACTGCTGGATAAGCCCAATGAATAGCTACGCTTTCAGGATAAATTGGAATAAGGTGGGCATTTTATGGAAGATAAACTATAGAAAGGTAAGATCATCACATTGATAATCTATAATTTGCGTTTATCTAACACAAAAATACCTAAATTTATAGGTTTAACCAAGAGAGGATGGAAGTGTGCACGTTTCTTCAGCGANTACTTCCAGTCGTACATACAATAGGTATGAAAGCAAATTGAAGGCCAGAAGGGACAAAAAAAAACCTTTTTGTTTGCATGAAAAAATAATTGTGTTGAACTCATTTACCAGTAATTTATTGTTGTACTTCAAAATTTAAGCTTAAACTGCAAATAGTCATATATGTATGTATGCATGTATTTTTAAGCAGTTAGAAAACTCTTTGATTTGTTTCTAGGTAGTTTTTCAATACAATATTAGTTTGGCTTTAGGCCGCTTAAAAAGGATCAGTCCAGCGCCGCTAAACAGCAATCAGCTTACATAAAAAATAACCAGAATAAGAAAAAAAAATAAAATTTGTATGAATTGTGTATTATCTTATGCTCAAATATATTTATTTTCTTGTAAAAGTAATTGGTTTCTCATAAAAAGGTCCAGGAGCCGAATGGAGCAAAAGGTTTATATAGAATTTTAGATATGT